AAGAACGAAAATCATTAATTCTTTTAATTAGTTTCTGAGTGAAGAATCTATTTGTTATCTGTTCTTCATACTTTATTTATAAACTAGTATAACTATCATAAGTGCATTAAAAATCATTTTCACATTTACTACTGTTGCTTAAGAATTATTCATTTCGAATATGTAAGTAACACTCCTGCTTAAATATTAGCTAATTTATCATTCAGAAGGAAATTCATTAGTTGTGAAACACGTGAAAGCATTGTGGTAGCGTGGCCGAGTGGTCTAAGGCGCTGGTTTTAGGCACCAGTCTTTCGAGGCGTGGGTTCGAATCCCACCGCTGCCAAGGTGTTTTCTTTTTCTCTCTGTACAGTAACGGAAAGGTTGTATTTATCCTAGTTGTCTTGCAACGGTTTTTTTTTTTTTTTCTTTTAATCAATTATTACAACTTTATCACTATCAACAAAGGCTCGTGTTCATTATACAAACACGTATGATTTTTAATTCATGTTGTATTAGACTCGAGATTGTAGTAACTTAGATTTATGCAAGCCAGGATGTGTCGGAATAAAATTGCTAAAGCAGTTTTTAAGCTTTTGAATAGTCGTGTATATATATATATATATATATATATATATATATATATATATATATAAAAATATATATATATAAATATATATATATATATATAAGCAGTTTTAAAGTTAGTATATATATATATATATATATAGCTAAGTTTATCTACGCCCCTAAGTTATTACTACTAGCGCCTAAGTTTATATATATATATAAACTTTTTCTCATGAGGAAATTCCGATTTCTTTTCAATTTCTTATAATAATAAATAAATCGTGAATTTAAGGAAATAAAAGGGAAAATATATGAAATTAGCTGTTTTTATAATTTTAGCAAAAACTTTATTTTATGTTTTTTGTTTTACCTAATTTTAACTCTCAAATTACTTCTTACGCTAATTGAAAATATGAACTCAGATTCTTAGTATTTGGAATTAGAAATAATTATAAGAATAAGAGACAGGCAGTCTTTTGTTCTCTTTGTCAAGTTTGAGGAATATTATTATAAAATTTTCTTTTCATTTTGAATTTAATGCCTTTTAATTTTCTTTCTTGTCTTCTGTTCCGTTGGGTATCAGAATTTTTATATTCATTAAAATTAACCAAATTTCTTTTTAAAAATATCCGATGACTTGGTAATAAACGAAACGTGTGCCATTTAGGAATAATAACTTTTTAACGATAAATTTGAAACTTTATTATTTTTTTTAGATTTTAATAACTCTGCTGCTGCAGATCAGTGAAATAACTGCAAGGGTGCAGATCCCAGGTTCGAGTCCTGACTCCGAATTCTTTTGCTTTATTTTCGACGATGTTTATAGATAAAGTTTTAAAATTATTTGTGTAATTGATTTTTTTATATTATTACTTATTTAGTATTGTACTTCTAAATTCAACGAACTTAACTGAAAAATTCATGGATGGGATTACAGGGGTGGGTGATCACAAAATAGTTGCTAACAGCTGATGAATTTCTCAAAATATTGTCTTATAATTTTTACTACTTTTAACTATGTATGTGATTTAAATAAATCACGAAACAACTATCAGATATAAATATTATTATAAAAAGCATTAAAAAATGGCTAACTATTTTCTTTTACAAAATTACTTTAAACAAAAGATAACTCTGAAACATAAGTATGTCTTTCTTAATTATAAGCATGCGACAGTGATGAATGATTACAGAATTAAGTCTAGTTTATGCTTACTGTGTAGTCGTGTCCGAGCGGTTAAGGCGATGGACTAGAAATCGATTGGAATCTTCTCGCGTAAGTTCGAATCCTACCGACTACGAAAACTAAGTTTGTTTTGTGTTATACAAGGGATCATTGCTTAAAGTTTTGATATAATTCGTCCAATAATTACTTTTTTAATTTTATTTTGAAAACAGTTTAAGTAGACTTTTGCAGAAAGTTAGATAATAATTTCAGCATAAACTGAAACTAATTTTTTTTTTTTGTTTATTTGTTAAAACTCTGATTGCTTACGTTTCTTTAGAAAACATGTAGTATGGTGGATGCAGTAACCTATTGATCATGGTCGCAAATTCGTGGTTGGCGTTATTTCCGTACTATATGTAAATTACACTATATGTTTGTTAAACGATTCCTGGTGCCACTAAAGAGCTGCTGGAACGGAAATGGAGCACGTTAAATCTGTCGAGGTCCGAAGCCCCACCATCCCCACCCCCAGTTGGCATGTTGTGGAAGTTTGAAGAAAGAGGTGCCAGCTCGGGTATCATCCTCGTCACTCGACCAAGGTTCAAAATTATGAGGTTCGTTACCAATAACCCTTGTGTTGTTTCTAAGTACAACGTGAATACTCAATCAATCAGTATTTGTATGTGTTCATAAACCTACATAATACTACATAAATGCAAAGTTATAATTCAAAGATCTAACTCAGACTAATGATTATCCCAGTTAAATAACTGAGTATGCATTTGAATTCAAAGGAAAAAATATCCAAAAATTAGATCTTTGAAAACAGACTATGGAAAAAAGACATCTTTAAAACACTGCAATCAAAATTCTTAAAAAAAAAAGTAAATAAATGCAAGAAAGAGATAAGAACAGAAAGAAATATTATTATAGGATACACATTCTATGAGTATTATTTATAACTATTCCTTCGTTATTAACTATTTTTCCAAAACCACACGCTTGACTTTTTGATGTTTATCTGAAGTTATATATGTGTGTGTGCAAACACAAAAATTTTTTTTTAAATTTTAACATCATTTAATTTTTCTCTCGTACAAGAAGAAAATAAATAAGAGATGTTTTCATAATCTACAAAATCGCTTCGAGGTATACAAATATTTTTAATTAAATGCAATGGAAATTATAAGAGTCTTGCATTTGATTACATAATTGTATAATCACACATAAAATTACATATATTTCTCATAGATATGAATTTCAATTGTAAAATATGCTTTGGATCTCTGATGGACCTCTCCAGAATTATTGGACATCCGCAGAAAATATATAATTACATTCTTGTCTATTTCAAAGATAAAAAGCTTTTTCAAATTAAATTAACTTAAATGTATAAAGTTGAAGCCATATTAAGATACACTGGTGTTCAAAATTAAAAGAATTTTCCGATTTGGTCAATTATCAAACTTCATTAATCTCATCTCAGAGATTAATGAAGTTTGTTGAGTACTTAGGTTTGATATAATACATAAAAATAACAATTCAACAGTTATAATACACATATGATCGTGTGTAACACTCGTCGAAGCCGCAAGGTATGAAACAGCAGTTGCTGAAAATAACAACGTGATTTTATGCTGGAAATAAAGGATCTTATGAGCTCCTGTTGCAATTGGTCCCACTCGTTCAACAACGCTGTTTTCAGGTCTTTGATGGCTCCCTGAGGGGGGTTGAGAATTGAAATTGCTCTCCCCAGAGCAGTCCAGGCATGCTCTATAGGATTGTAATCAGGAGATCTGGCTGGCCAATCCATCCAGCGAATATCTTCACTTTCCAGAAATTCGTTGACCAGATGAGCTTTATGTGGCCTCGCGTTGTCATCCATTAAAAGTAAATCAGGACCAACTGCACCCCTGAAAAGGCAAACGTAGGTCTCCCAGATCTCATTCATATACCTCTCAGCAGTAACAGTGCCACTTTTAAAGACATGGAGGTGTGTGCAGTCATCCAACATGATGCCTTTCCAGATCATGAAGCCTCCGCTGCCGTTATGGTCGATTTCTTGGACATTAGAGGGCAGGTAGCGGGTCCCTGGTTCTCTCCATATGAAAGTACGGCGAAAATCACTGGTTAGGCTGAGCCGGGACTTATCAGTGAAGAGAACTGTCACCCATTAATTCATGTTCCAGTCTGTATGATCTCTGTATCATTTTAAGCGGACTCTCCTATTTGCAGAACTGAGAGGGATTCAAACAACAGGTCTGCTTACAAACAGCCCTCTCTCAAGAAGTCTTCTGGAAACAGTCACCCTAGAAACTCGGGTTATTGTGGCTGCATACAACTCATGAAAGACCTGAGAAGCTGTAGCAACCCTGTTACGCCCTACTGTAATGGACAAATAGTTATTTTCTCTCCGGTCATCAAGGCTCTTGGACGACCGTGCCCAGACTTTTTCTCAACGGATCCAGTATCCTTAAACAGTTTCCAGAAATTGAACACGACGCTGAACGTTAAACCGAATTATCTGCAAATCTTGATTTGATACTGGCTTCAAGCCTACCCACAATTCTCCACCTCATTCCATCATCTAAACGTGGGTCGTTACTGATTTTTACTGTTTGAATTTTAAGTTAAGCGATTGCTACAAAAAAAAAAAAACTCCAAGAGATCCAGCGAACGAAATGCGAATTTATGCACTCGCTCTCATAAATCCTGTTTTTCTACTAGTTCCGCCCATACACACGTATACGCTAGCGTTCGACGCACGAGATTCGCAACTTTGTTTAGAAACAGTATTTCTTCATTTCGTTCAATTATTTTCATGAAATTCGACAAAATATGCGAATTATCTTAATTTTGAACACCATTGTGTGTATGTATATATATATATATAAAACATGATAAATTACACAACCCTTATGACAAAATTACATATGAACTATGCATACAAGAAATATAAATTCAGTAAAGTACTGAATAAACATAAAAGTAAGCTAATAAAGTAAAAGCTTAAATTTAAAGATCAGTTAAGCTATTAAGACGACATACTTTATAACAAAATTTAATTAAAACCATAACTCAAAAGAACAAAGAAACGCAATCATAAAATGAGGACTAAACAATACATAGAAATGTATAATATATTGACATCTCATGAATTAAACCATAATAAAATTAATACATTATAATTAAGTTTTAATGTACGAAAATAAATTGTAAAGAAAATAGTATCTCGTAATCAGTTATTTAAAATTAAAATTTTGTTACTAATTTTTATTATTTGATAATGAACCTTTTTTCTGAATTGCAATTTAATACTTAAATAACATGCGCTTGTCGTTTATTTGAGAATAACCAAGAAACTTTCTTTATGCATGGAAACATCGCGTGACATTCATGATGAATTAACTCAGAATGATCTTAACTGGCAAGACCTTTAAGCAAAGGAAACAAAAGATTACGTATTTGTTATAAAAGCAAATAAGTCTCTCCTAATCATTAAGGTTGCTACAGCAACTCTGAACGAATGCCTGGTAGACTTACAGGGAGACGAATACTGCACTTTCGAGAATTGGTACTTAATGAACGCATACCGATTCATAATAGAGAGTCACTTCAGAAAATAAGATGGATTTATTTTCCAAAGGGGTATTCCCTTGAACATTCCTCGTACTTTCTAGAATAATACTTAAACGTCATTTCCTTCCTTTTTAAATAATCTTTTAAGAATGCATTACTGTTACTGTATTGTAAATATTGTTAAAATGAGTGTTGTATAATTCTGAATTAAAGAATAATTACTTATGATTTGATTATTGCCTAGATTATTTTTATTTTAAAAATGGCAAGCAAAAAACATTGCACAGGTATTTCTCAAACGTGATGAGTTTATGAACGATTTAAAAATCTTGAATAAGTTTATTGGGTAGTAATTAAATTTTGACCATTTACTATCATTAAATTTTGACCATTTACTATTATTTAATTTTGACCATTTACTATCACTAGTAAAAGATATACTAGTCAGTTATACAAAATAGTAGTAATTAAAAAATCAGTGAATAAAAATTTTACAATGCTCATATTAAACTTTATAATGTTTAAATTTCAATTAAGTTTTAATTCATCTGGCTAATAAACTTCCTAACTGTGTTCATAAAATTGAACGAAATTGACCTGAAAATTGTAATTTTTTAAAATCATTATTAAAAATTTAATGTACTCCTAAGATATAATTTTTTCATGTTACAGTTTTTAGAAATAATTTTCTTTTAAATGTGTTTTCTGCGATTAAACCATTTCAAAATGAATAAACTATTGATATAAAGCGAAATTATTATTACGTAATGAGTTAACTTCAGTTCAGTAACTGCAATGAAAGGAAATCCTGAAATCGTATACACCAGGGGCCGCCAAACATTTGTGATCAACGCCCTCCAAAAATTTTAAAATTCTCTTATCGACCCCCTCTATAAAAATGATAATAAAAGAAAAAAAACTTACCTGTTTCTTAAATAAATTAAATCATTTATGAAACAGTTAAGTTTTTTTCCTTTCTCTTTTGATTTTGACAAAATCAAATTTTTATATAAATCAATAAGAGGGATGTGCTTGATGACTCTTGGCTAAATTAGCTATATTTGGTTCAAAATTTGTTAATTTCAGTTTTATTTCACTTCGGAGCTCCATATACTATTTATTTCCCTTCTTTGTTAAAATAGAATTAACATGACTGAAGCCAGATTCAACCATACATGAGCTTGGGAATGGAAATTATTGGAAATGCCATATCACAAGTTTTGGATATTTTTGTGTATTATTTATAATCGTACAAAATGTACTCACAGTTAAATTATTAAAAAGCATCTTTGCTTCAAGGTCAACTAACAATTCAATGACTTCATCTTGCAAATGACTGTCGTTATTTTCAACTTGAGCAGAAATTGGCACGATAGTCTATTTTAGGATATTTATATTTTTAATATCTCCAAAGCATAACTTAAAATCATTGTTTAATTTTTGGAGATAATTTGTGTATATTTCCAATTGTACGTCGGTTATATCTAATTATCATAAATTTCAAAAGTATTGAAAATCTTCACGTAACAATGAAGACTTAAACAAGTTTAATTT